TCATTATTAACTATTTCTAATGTGTGTGACTGCTTTGTTGAGATATAACTTACTATAAAATTCACTCATTTTAATTGTATAATGACTTCGGTGTATTTACTAAGTTGTTACCATCAGCACAGTCTAATTTTAGAACACTTCCATCACTCCAGAAAGCAAGCCCCTGCCCGTTGCCACCCCTAGATCTAGGCAACCTCTAACTTTTCTGTTTCTATAGATTTGCCTTTTCTGAACATTTCATATAAATGGAATCATACAGTATGTGGTCTTTTGTGTCTGCTTTCTTTCTCTCAGCATAATGTTTTGGGCTTTATCCATGTACATGTATCCATATGGATACAATAGTGTGCATCCATACTCCATTCCTCTTCTTTTAAAAATAAACTTATATCGCCTTTACTCATTTCTCCCGTATCCCCCCTTGCCCCACGTCTGGCAACCACCAGTCTGTTCTCTGTATTTATGAGCCTTTGTTTGTTTATTTGTTTTGTTTTTGTTTTTGTTTTAGGTTCCACATATAAGAGGTCATAAATATTTGCTTTCTCTGTCTGACTTATTTCACTTAGTGCAGTGCCCTGTAGGGCATTTAAATGTTGACAGCTAGACATCTACGTTGAAGCGTTAAAAGATAAATCTGTCTATTAAGGAGATGTGCTGGCTGAGTGCAGGGTGGGGACCTACCTGTCTTGGATCCTAGAATAGGAAAAGGACATTGGGAAACTTTGGAAAAATATGTAGTTTCATTAATAAACAAATAAATCAAAATTTGAGTAAACTGTTCTGCGCTTCTTTTCCTTAGTGACAGCCCTGATGCCGTGCGTGAAGTGGAAAAGTGGCTGCCCCGACTGCATGCCCTGGTTGTAGGGCCTGGCTTAGGTAGAGATGATTTTCTTCTTGGAAATGCCAAGGTAACGTATAGAACTACTAAACAAACCTCTCCTGATAGACATGGGAAGTCAGAACAGAAACTTTTTTTTTTTTTTAATTTCTGTTTAGTGTTCTGTGTGCCATTTCATGGAATAATTAAGATGGATAAAATTTGGTTTGGGGGATAGAGGAGGAACTAGGCACAAAGATGATAATGAACTTAAAACTGGGCTGAAGGAATCTCTTTCACTCTTGGGGCACTGGTTTTTTCCATACTGTAGCAGAAGGAAGTCACTGTGGAATCGCTCAGGTGTTTCATGATGTCACCGTGATGTTTATGTGTGTTACACACGATGTGTTAGAAAGTCCAGCGTCTAGACTGAGTAGTGTTAGCAGTGGACAGAGTTTGGGGTCAGGCTCGCGTTCCACTCCCAACACCATCTCCTTCTTGCTGGGGACCCTGGCAGCTCGCTCAGCCTCCTGGGCCTTGTGCCTTTTCTGTAAAGGGGTGATTGCACCCCCATGGGTTACTGAGAGCCACATTTTATAAAATGTTTTGCACAGTGCCCAGTTAGGTACACAACACGCTACAGCAGGGACAAAGTCACTGTCACAGATAACCCAAGTGGGAGAGGGTATTTCTGAGAATTTCTCTAATAACTACCTTTGCTGTAAGTTGTACATTTAGGTAAAAACACAAATGGTATTCTGTTGGTTCTATCTTTGTGTTGTCAGCTGGGTCCTCTTGAAAGCTCTGTTAGTCTGATTTCTTAACCTGGTGGTTTTCCACCTTCTTGGTGTTCCCATTGGCTATAGAAAATCCTGGCCTTCGGGCAGCACAAGTCACTTGGTTGGCGGCTTTGACCTCTGTTCTGTTCCTTGCCATCTTTCTCAGATAAAACCAGCAACACCCAGCCTAGCCACTCGGTGACACAGAGTGGGCACGAGACCCTAGTTCACCCGCATGTACATATCTATGTTCATTTACTTTTTCATTGGTCATTTATGCTATTCTTTATTACTGACAATTCATTTTGTGCCTGTCTAAAAAGAAAAAATCTAAAAGATGAAAATAATTTTTTATCCTCAAAAGGTTGAAATACAAATAAACAGCTAGAATTAGGAAAAATAAAGGTCAGACTACATGCCAGCCCTATGTTCTGTGTGTTCCCTGTGCCTGGCATTCTCTGACACTGCCAGGATGTCACCAGTGGGGACATCTTGGGGACCGCTCCCCGCGATCTCACTGACTTCTCCCGGGCCCTTCTCAGTGTTCCTGCGTCACCTGCCCAGCTTCAGCCCTGGAGAAGGTGATGTGATGTGCCCTATGTGAGATGGTGCCTCAGGGGGCTGAGAGTGAGCTCCAGATGAGGGCATGTGCTTGATGCCCTCAGATGGTGCCTGGTCATGTGCCCATTAAAGGATTCGAAGTCTGCTAAACATGATTAACCATCCTCACCGTCTTTAACCAAGACGAGCTCTTTTCGCTCAGCTTTTGCCTTTTGAATTAAATTGAGCAGTTGGTGTGAAAGGAAGGTGTAGGGAGCTATGTGTGTTTGTTGTACTTTCTTAGCAATGTGATTGGTAAAGAGCATTTTAAAAAGATAGGAAATGCGTTTGCTTTACCAGAATTTAGTGAGAACATGGATTGTAAGGATACCCTCCATGACAGATCTTCCAGTTCCAGTCTTTGAGGTGAAAGTTGGGGTTTGAAATTCCACTTTCCTCAAACTCATGAATAATCATTGAGGAGAAACAGCCATGACAAGTGACAGGTGATGGGATGAATGAAATTGAGCAATATATTTGTTTTGACTTTAAAATTGATAGTAGATCCACTTATTGTCGCTTTCAAAAGTGTTGATTAAAACGTAATGTATCCTCCGGAGTCCTTTATGCCAAGTGAAGTAAGCCAGACGCAGACAGGCAGGACTTCCTGTGCCCACCTGAGCCATGGCTGAGGTGTTCAGCCCTGAGGAGTTCCCATGCTGGGCATTTGCCCTGCACCCTGAACCAAAGACTCCCCTGGAGTGTGCCACAGATGGTTCATTCCCCAACGAAGAATTTAATGCATGGAAAATTTAAGATCAGTAATTAGAAATGAAGAACTTATTTTTTTAAAAACTGTTTACATGAATCGAAAATATGCTTGGATTTTACCAGAATTCATAACCACTTTTTTCTTCCTTGGGACAAATACATGTGCTAAGGCCACACAGAACACTGGCCTGGGGGCAGTTACTAGCAGGGGGACCCAAGACAGACCATGCAGCTTCAATGACCTTGGGTTTCCTCATCTGCTCTGTTTTCATTATCATGTTCTACTTACTGGATTATTGAGCTCAGTAGAATCTGTGAATCATATACTAATATTATGTGCGTTTTGTGTGCCAGGCACTTTTCTGAGTACTTTGTATTACTAATGCATTTAGTTCTCACAGCAAGCCTCTTAAGTAGGTAGTAGCATTATTTCCATTTTACAGATCTGGAAACCGATACAGAGAGATGATGTCTTGTGCAGATATTAGACACCCACAGTCATCCAGACAAGACTCGCAATATTTGTGTCCAGAACATCCAGTGCCAGAATTGGTACTTTCCATACCTAAGCTCTGAGAAGCTTAAGTATGTGTGAAAGCATCTTCAGGGGCTGTGTAAGTAGCAGTATTTATTTTAATTCTGCTGCTATGTGCTCTGCAGTGTGCATGGCACTGGAGACACAAAACCCCAGTGGTGGAAGGGGTATGATAAAGAATTGGCTAGCCTTTGTCCCCTGTTCCTACGAGGGAGCCTCTGAACCTTAGGAATTTTGCAAGTAATAGAAATGACTCTTACTCATGGTGGGCCTCTTGGACCACACATGAGCTTATGCTAAAGATGTGACTCAGGGTTGGGGCCTTTACACTAGGAAAGTGAGATGCGAGTTGTTGCCACCTCCAGGGAAGGGGGCTGCAGATTGAGTTCAGTCACATAGGCAGTGATTCAGTCAGTCTCTTGAACATAATATCAGAGACCCCAATAAACTCAGGTGAGCTCCCTGGTTGGTGCACACAGATATGCCTGGAAGGGAACATGTGTGTCCTGACTGACCAGGAGAGGGTCCGGAGCTCTTTGTGGGACCCTCCTAGACCTTGCCCCTTGTGTCTCACCATTTTGCTGGTCCTGATTGTTGTCTTTCATAATAAAACTGTAATTGAAGGTATAGTGCTTTCCCAAGTTCTGAAAGTCATTCTAGCAAATTACTGGACCTGAGGAGGTGGTGGGAATTCCCAAATTTGTGTCCCATTGGTCAGAAGTGCTGGTGGCCTGGGAACCCTTGAGCTTCTGCCTGGTGTCTCAAGACAGGGTCTGTGCCCTTCACCTGTGCAAAGACCATCTCTAGGTGGTTAGCATCAGAATTGCTCTTCAGCAAGTATCTGGGAAAGCAGCATAGGAATGTGGTACTTACGGTATCTTCTCAGTCTCTCAGAACATGCACTCTTACTTAACTTGTTCAGACCCTTTGTTCATCCCACTTCAGGGACCATATTTCAAAGGGAAATATCCTGATACACGGGGTGGGATACTAATTAGCAAATAAATGCTTTCTTATGGAGCATCTGTCCTTGACCAGATGGGGCATAACTAAGCAAACTTTGATATACGAGTATTATTTGGCTGGAATACCATAACCATTTAGTTTTTTTTTCTACAATCAGATAAGTGGACTATGTTTAACTGAGGAACACTGTATCTGATATGCTGAAATAAAAAATGATTGATTACAGCAACATAAAAACACAGTCTATATCAAGCGGGATCGGGTGAATTTAAGGTGAAAAAAGCTAGTTTTCTGTACTTTGTCTTTTTCCTCTCTGAATTTAAGTTCATAATAAAAAATTTAGAATGCTTATTAAAGAAAAAAAAACACTTCGCAATGTACAAGTTAGAAGGTAAGGGTATGAATCACTGTACTTCCCAGCCCAGTCTCCAAAGTTAACATTTCCATTCATTCTTTTGGACTTTTCTCCCTCTGCATATAAAATAGCAGTCATGATAATGAGGATTGCTAACATTTCTTGAGCATTTCCTATGTTCCAGCTAACACAAAACAATGCATTATGCTTTCTTAGCTTCCCGTTCAATGCCTGCTACATAGCAGACATTTATTACTATATTTTGCCATGTATAATAATGCTCCCGTGTATAACGCACACCCATGTTTTTGGCCCAAACTTTGAGGGGAAAAAATGTTTCATTTTAATTTTTTAATTCAAATTTTTATTTGTTTACATTTAGGTACTTGTTTTTTGTATTACAAAGGAACTTTAACATTTATTTTTTAACACTATGGTACAAGAAATTTTATGTAACAAATAATTACAAAATACAAGAACAGATACAAGCTACAAGAGATTTTATGTACCGGTAACAAATTTACGATAGTTACGCATCATAGAAGGCCAAGAACTCTTCATCATTGCAAATTTGTCATAAGTTCAACGAAACTGATTATTGTATTCCAGGGTATTATTTTGCATACGAACATCATTGATTTCTAGAGTTACACATTAACTCATAAGCATAAATAAAAGAATTAAAAACATTTATATAGATACGGAACTAGTACTACCCATGTATAATGTGCATCCTTATTTTTCCCTCACACATTTGGACAAAAAAGGGCTCATTATACACTGCAAAAGATGGCAGATGTTTTTTGAATGAATTCATTATCTGGTGTAATCTCATAACCCTATTAGATTTTTATTCTTATCCTCGTTTTTCTGATGAGGAAATTGAATCCTGGAGATGAGATTTTTACGTACCAGAGAATTCACCCTTTTAAAGTGTACAATTCAGTGATTTCTATATTCATAGAGTTAATGCAACCGTCACCATGATCAATTTTAGACATTTTCCTCACCCTAAAAAGAAACCCCATATCCATTAGCAATTGCTCCCTGTTCCTCTCAACCTCCCTAGCCCCTGGCAACCACTAATCAACTTACTGTCTCTATGGATTTGACTATTGTGGACCTTTTAAGGAAATGGAGTCATACACTGTGTGGCATTTTGTGACTAGCTAAATTCACTCGGCATAATTTCAGGGTTCAAAAATGTTGTGGTGTGTCAGTACTTCACTCCTCTTTATTGCAGTCTAGTATTCCATGGTATGGGTAGACTACATTTTTATCCATTCATCAGTCGATCTATGTTTGGGCTGTTTCCACTTTTTGGCTATGATGAATAATGCTGCTATGAACATTTGTTTACACGTTTTTATGCTAACTTATATTTTTGAGGTGCTGCCAGTGTTTTTTATAGAAGCAACACCATTTTATATTCCCATCAGCAATGTGTGAGGGTTCTGATTTCTCTACATCCTCTCCAGCACTTGGTATTGGCCATCTTTTAATTATAGCCATCCCAGTAGGTGTGAAGTGGTGTGTGTGTGTGTGTGTTTTCTCATTGTGGTTTTGGTTTACATTTCCTCGATGGCAATGATGTTGAGCCTTTTTTCATGTTTATTGGACATCTGCAGATCTCTGAAGTATCTATTTATATCCTTTCCCCATTTAAAAAATTGCTTGTCTTTTTATTACTGAGTTTTAAACATCTTTGTATATTCTAAATGCAAGGCCTTTATCAGAGATAGAATTTATGAATATTTTCTCATTCTGAGTTTTCTTTTCATTTCTTTGATGGTAGCTTGCAGCACAGATTTTTAATTTTGATAAAGTTCAGTTTATCTGTTTTTTTCTTCTGTCACTTATGCTTTTGGTGTCTTATCTAAGAAGGTTTTTTGCGTCACCCAATATTTATTCCTGTATGTTCAGCGCTCCGTTGTGTAGCCCTTCTATTTAGGTCTGTGGTCCATTTTAATTTTTGAGTAAGGAAGGGGCCCAATTTCATTCTTTTGCAAGTGGATATCCAGTTTTCCAGCACCATTTGTTCAAGACTCTTCTTTTCTACCAGTGAATTGTCTGGGCATCCGTGTTGAAAATCAATTGACATAAATGTAAGGGTTTATTTCTGGGCTCTCATTTCTGTTCAGTCAGCCTGTATAGCCATCCTTATGCCAGTACCACAGGCTTCATTACAGTAAGCTGTACAGTAAGTTTTGAAGTGGGAAATTGTGAAGCCCTCAAACTTTTTTCTTTTCAAGATTATTTTGGCTATTCTGGTCCTATGCATTTCCATGTAAGTTATTTAATTCTTATATGTATTTACATTATATATTATTTTGTTTGTTACATTTTTAATATCTAATATTTTATTTTAAATATTTTAGTAGCTACATAATATACAATAATGTATTTAGTTCATTTAGGCTGTTATAGCTTTTCCTATTATATTCGTAATATCTTGAACATTTCTGTATACATATTTGTCCATTTCTTTTGGGTATTTTTTTTTTTTCCTAAAGATTTTTGGGGAATTGGGGGAAGAGGAATAGACAAGTTGCTGTCCCTTTTGTTCTTTAGTCTAGTTGTGGAGGACGTTGCTTCACTGGCCCAAGTTGGCACCATCATTGCGCTCTTCGCAGGTGAGGCAGATCAGTTGCCGGCTTCTGGACGGCCGCTCACGGTGGCTGCTAGCCGCTCACGCTGGCTGCTGGCTACACACGGTAGCCCATGGCAACCCACTGCAGCAGGGGCTGCAGCCTACGCCATCACCAGCTACTCATGGCAGCCCAGCGCCAGGTTGAGCTGTTGTTCAGCATCTTAGCTGTGGAGGGCAGTGTCACTGGCCCTCATATGTGGGATCCGAACCGGGGCCCTCTGGCGTCCCAAGCCAGCTCTTAACCAATGCGCCACTCGGCCGGCCCTGGGTATTTTCTTTAGGATAAATTTCTACATGATCTGTTGCTGAATCAAAGAGCTATATCAGTTTACTGTGCCACCAGCAGGCTGCCCTTGCCAGGACTCTGCGATGGGGTGCTGTCATTCCTTCTCACTTCTGCCTGGTCTCTTATGTGGGAAATGCTTACTTTATTTTAGCTGTGTCTTATTTTTGGAGACAAAGTACTGCTTCTCAGCCATCCTCCAGACTTTTCTGATCTGGGTGTAGCTTGTTCATTTCTATGCCATTCTTCTTTTAGATTAGATTATTAACTAGGTGGTGGGTGAAGCTGCCGTTTTGGAGAGTGGTGATGTTATCATCAGCGTCTCACTTGGAGCTATTGCCTTGTTGTAAGTGTGTCCTCATGGCCCCGACTGCTATTAACATCAGTCATCCTTGCAAATGCAGTTTAAATGCACTGTGTACTTCATATGAACCCTCTGAGTGATGGAAGCAAATCAGTCCTTACATGGTGACTTTGGTGCATGATTCTGTGTAATGCTCTTAACCGTGCCAGGAGACCCCAGTGTTTTGTGATGTTACGTTATTCAAATACTGTCCATTGTATTGACTTACATTTTCCTGTGTTTGATTACTCACTTTAGGCTACTGTGTTTTGTAAGAACTTTAATAGGAAAAGTACAAAGAGATGAAGGTGTCAGATGAAGGCAAATACTGCAGCAAGAAACCAGAGATTGAAAAATCTGAATTAGCAAGCGCCAAATCACTTTTAACAGTAAGCCAAACTAAAGGCAAACAGAGTCTTTTCATTGTTAAAGAAAGTAATAAGCTTCCATGAAGCTCCTATACCCTGATCCTCATTTGAAGGGGCTTCTGGAAATGCTCCCAGAGCTCTGACCAGCGTTAGCAAAGAACCACTGAGACTGTTGGGCAGGGCGCGTGCTGTGGGCTTTCATAGTTCCTTTTTAGAATGGTAACATAATTAAATATATGTGTATTTATCTTTCAGTGTTTTAAGTTATTTCTGCCCACCATATATTTTTTTTGTTTTATTCTCTTTTAATGTTTTCTATTATCAAGTGTCTGTATCAGGTAGAGATCATTTTTACATGCTATTGTAATATATAGTCTTATGCTGCTTCATAATAAGCAACCATATGTTGATCTGATATATGCACATGCACGCATACATGCACTTTTTCTTTTTTAGCAAAAAAACCTCTGAAACTTAGTATAACCTTTTCAGAGAGAGGTGATTTTCTGTTTATTTTTAAGATCATTATTTTAAAACACATAAAGTGTTATGAAAAATACATAAAAGCTGATGATTTGGGGAATTCCTAAGACTTAGACTTTTCATCTCTGAATCCTGAGGATTAGTGTCTGTTGGAAATTTGGAGGCTCTAGCTTGGGAGGGCTTCCTGGGTTAGCCTGGGCCCAGTGCTATTCCTCGTGTCACCCGTGGGCTTCTGTTTTCAGTTTCCTGTGCCCTGCCTTGCAGAGGCACTCTGTCGGTTCATTTGGGTCTTTTCTGTTTGTTTTACGCATTTACTTTTATTTTCTATTTGTTGATGAGCTGATACTGAAATTCATTAAAGAATTGCTCAGTTTTCTTTTAATTCCTCTGACAGGTGACAGCTTTTCCTTCTTTCACAGGGCATTTTAGAAGCATCAAAGGCCAGAGGTGTCCCCGTCATCATTGATGCAGTGAGTGTGGCCTCTCCTCTCTTGTCCCCTCCTTACAGCCAGGCCCCCAAGGTTGTACAGTAAACGGGAGTCCTTGTTCTGTGCAGGACGGGCTGTGGCTGGTCGCTCAGCAGCCGGGCCTCATCCAAGGCTACCGGAAGGCTGTTCTCACTCCCAACCATGTGGAGTTCAGCAGACTCTCTGAAGCTGTGGTGAGTGCTGACCACCGAAAGACTCGGTGCAAGTCCTCCTCATCCTGAGGGGTGGGCAACACGCTGTGCAGGTCTGCGCCCACTGGTCCCTGTGGGTGCGTCTGCAGGAGCAGACTAGCAGATAGCAGGCGAGCAGATGCATGCTTTTCTGCGGTGCACATTCTTTTACATGCTAATGATGGTTTTGGTTTGGTTTGGTTTGGTTTTGGTGGCGTATGTGATGGGGCATCTTCCAATCATTACATCTTTGATTGGATGCAAGGGGGTGGTGGGCTCTGGGGTCAGCCAACCCCTTCCACTGTGTAATCTGTGCGGATCACTCCATTCTCTGCCCTGTTACTCATAGTCTGTGAAAAGTGGGTAATGATGGCATCTGCCTCACAGGGTCTGGGAGGATGAAATGAAGTAACACGTGTACATCCACGAGTCCTGACGCACCAAGTGCCCCACAGATACTAGTGCATTATCGTTCGAAGTTCATCACTGCTGCAAACTTTAAAATCCCAACCATGGACGTGTTCTTTACCTGTGGTCTGACAAAGTAGGAGCCATGCAGCAGAGCAGTATTTCTGCTTCAAGCCCCGGTGTTGGCATCACCTGGAGGACTTGCAGTCCATGATACCTTGGGCCTCCTTCCACCTGCTGGAATACACATGTCGGGGGCGGGGTGGGAGGGCAGAGCTCGCCATCGGCAGGTGCCTGGGGGATTCCCTGAGATGTGAGAGTCAGGATCAGGATGGATGAGGCAGGACATTCATTGTATCCACATTTGTGAGCTTGTTTCATGTGTCTAATGACAACTTTGTCTGTGGTGTCCTGTGTCGTAGCTGAGAGGCCCTGTGGACAGCAGTGATCGCCGTGGAGCTGTGCTGAGACTCAGCCAGGCCCTGGGGAATGTGACCGTGGTCCAGAAAGGGGAGCAGGATGTGATCTCTGATGGGGAACAGGGTGAGTGGCCTTGGGCTTCACGCGTGTCAGCCAGCCAGTGCGGCCATGCTGGGTACAAGGCCCAAGAAAATCTCTCATCACAGCGCAGTACAGGTGCTCAGTGTTCTCAGTGTGTCACATGTTTGCACATCACACGTGGTCACTCATGGCTCACATGCTCACACATCATGTGCATCACATGTGTTCAGTCAGGGACTTCCTGATGAGCTTGTTAAACACAACTTCTTCAAAGTCCATTTTAATTTCTCACTGTTCTGCAAAGGGAAGCTACAGTCATGAGTGCTGATCGCAGCCGATACCAGGTTCAGTGGCTAAAGTTCTGTTAATGATTTATAAGCAGCAGCCCAGTGCAAGGTAGCTGTAACAGGGGTTGCTCCAGGGGCCTGGACCTGCACCTCCATCTTGCCTATAGCATAAATGCCGTTATTTGAATATTTTACTGCATGTTGTCCTGTTGTATAAAAATGACTGGAAAGTGAAGAGGTCCTAGAAGCTGACAGTAGTGGTGGGACTCACAGGTGCTGCATGTGGCACATCTTGCAGTCACATTCTGTCCATGGGAGCCTGTGGTCTGCTGAGAGCAAATGGGGGTGCGGGTGGAGGTGCAGTGTCCGCACTTGCTCATGTCTACACAGTGAGGCTCAACCAGAGACTGTACAGCATCTCTAACTCCCTGAGAACAGAAATGCTCCTTCTTTAAAATCTGATCAGGAGGCAAAAGGCACACCAGTTTTCTTAGAATTTAATACAAAGAACTGTCGCCTAGGTGTAGAGTCGCTGACTAGGCCAATGATATCGGCCAACGGAGAACAGAAGGCATCCGGAGTCACGTGTACGTGCACTCACACACTCACTTTGTCTCTCACATGCTGGGCAGGAAACGCAGAGTGAGTGTTGTCTGAGGGATCCTGAAACCTTTGGGGTCTTTTATTGCCGGAAGGTGCTCTGGACTGACACATCCAGAGCATGTAACAACCTGTTTTCCAGTTATTTTCCAAATAAGTAGAAATGTCTCATTATACAGCATGAATGAAGTCCTGATGATTACCGGCCGAGTCTACTTGGGACGCTAGCACTGAGCTCGTCTCCTTGAAGGTGGACTCGAGTGTGAGATGCTCTGGTGGGCTTGGGCGTCAGGAGCCTGCGGGATTGAGGCCCCGCGTGTGCTATGCAATTGTGCTCTTCTTTGATCTCTGTTCCAGCAGATCCCTCAGTGGCTCTGAGTCATAGGTGTCTCCACTGACCACCATACTAAACAGTTGGTTCTGGGGCAGCCTGTTTCTGCCTGCCTCGGTTTCCTCTCCTGTAAAAGAGAGGCTTCCTTGTTGGGAACAAAGGGGGAAGCACCATGGATGACCTGGAATACCCTGTGAGCACAGACGAGCCCCCACTCTAATGCCGTCTTGCTTTTGCCCTGCAGTGCTTGAGTGCAGCCAGCAGGGCAGTAACCGCAGGTGTGGTGGGCAAGGAGACCTCCTCTCGGGCTCCCTGGGCGTCTTCGCGCACTGGGCACTCCACACCGGACCTGAGAAAACAAATGGGTATGGCCACATCTTCATCTATCCTACTTGGAAATTTTTTAACTATGTAAGCTGTTTTGGTAGCAAATACATTTCATAAGTAGCCGCTTGGAATGTTCCAGATGAAATGTGGGTGTTACCGATGTGGAAGAAATCCCAGGGCAGGGGTTGATCCAGAACGTTTGCCTGGGGAGCTTTTACACTGTAAAATGTCTGGGCTCCTCCCCGTCAGTCGATGCCGATGGGCTCTGGGGCATCTCTAGCTTTTAAAGCTCTCCCATTAACTCTAATGTGCAGTCAAGTTTGAGAACACTGTTCTGGGAGGTCCGCTACGTTTCCTCTGTAAAATAAAATGTTGAAATAGAAAACATGCAGGTGGCGGTAGAGCTTACCTTGAATGGTATCCTGAAAGATGTGTTTTCTTCAGGCAGCAGCAGAATTCTAAGATTTGGGCTTTGGCACCATCATGGTGACAGTGATGACTGCACATACCAGGTGGGATGTCCCAGGCTGGAAGGCCCTGCCCGACACCTGGTAAAGCATGCTGGCCCGTGAGGTTGTAGCACACCTGGCAGGCAGGGACCCCCACCTGGGCGTATGCTCATGGAAAGGAGAGCTATAGTGGGAGCCTAGTAATGGTAAAGAACCTGCCTTCTTAGATCTTGAATGTTCCCTCACACCCTGGGCACTGAAGAGCACTTTAAACTATAACCAGTAAGTCCTGGTCTGGTGTTCACAAGGGGAAAATTGCTGTGTTCTAACCTTTCTCCAGATGGATAAGTATTTTTGATATGATTCCCTTTAGTCAGGGAATATCAATATCAGGGGATTAATGGTTATTGTAACTGTAACAAAGCTGCCTTCTGCCTCAACGGTGTATCAGACTAGAAATGGCCAGTTTGGGGTCTCAGGGCAGAACAGGAAGAAAATCAGAGCCTTTGGTGGCTTCAAGCCCCTGGTGTCAGACACAGCAGTGGAGGCCAAGGACTTCCCGCCTCCAGCAGCACTTTGCTAACCCTTCTGCCCTCCAGTTTCAGCCCCCTCCTCGTGGCTGCCTTCGGCGCATGCACCCTCACAAGGCAGTGCAACCACCAAGCCTTCCAGAAACATGGCCGCTCCACCACCACCACCGACATGATTGCAGAAATTGGATCTGCATTCAACAGACTCTTTGAAACGTGAGCCAGTGCAAACAGGAAGAAAGCAGGCACCATGATGAGAGAGACTGCATTCATAATGGGACAGTGCACGTCTGGGATGCAGTGGTCAATGTAGAGAATTTAAGAATGCAGCAAATTTTGGTTAAACTAATATGCAGTTTGAGATGTTAGAATGAACCCTAAACAAAGTATTCCTGAACTTTTTCTTAGCTTCTCAGCAATAACTGAGAAAAAAATGGAGAATCACTTGAGAATGAGAAAGTCTTTGACTAGCTCAGCTGAATTTGTGGGCGTGCTCCAAGATCGCAGACTTCCGGGGTCGTCTCTGAGTTTAGGTCTTCTCATTCCCTCTGCTGACGCGCTGCTTGCTCCTTTTGCTTATGCCGTACGTTCCCCTTACGAGATGGTCCTCTTGGAGGGAGCCAGTCGGTCATTTCCAAATGCCTGTGTGAATGATGTGTTTTTCTTTTTTAACTGAGACCCACCAAAGGATGTGGCATTCATTCTTTAGCTCATTTTTGTTTTTAAAATAGTGATTATGTTAAAGCGGTCTGGGCAGAAATACTAAGCATTGGTTATTTTGGTTCATTGGTTCAAGTATTCACAATAGGCAGTGATCAGTTTGGCCTTGGAAACCCTTTTGGAGGCACTGTGGGAAAATCAGAGAAGGTCACTTAATGGGACACTGACACCTGAATGGACGAGTGGGGGCTCTTGTGTCTTATACTTCTCCTTGTCTGTGCGCACAAGTGCATGTGGTGGCTGTTGGGGCCCAGCAGAGCATGCGTGAGTGGGAGGGACACCCAAGTGTCACCATGCTGTTGTTCCTGAGATGGCCCATCGGTGTGCCCTCGTGGGTGGAAAGCTTCGGGATGCATCAAGGAGGCCTTGGGGAACTGAACTTTGTGGTCATGCCTGCTTCCCGCGCAGAACAGCGGTCCTTGTGGTTTGAAAGTGGGTGGGTCCTCAGGAAGATTCAGATTCCATTAAAGAAGCTGATACTCTGAAATTGTAATAAATGAGATTGTATTGTCTTGTTAACCTCTGGTTCGCTTGTTTGGTTGTCTGTGTGGCTGGTTGTACTGGTGGTTTTCTTAGTGGCCTAAGAGTTACTTGTTTTCAGTTGTCATGTCTCCATAGGGTTTGGTTCCTAACACATTACTTGAATGTACTCTTACTGTTGAATAATGCCTTCTACAAGGGCAAGACCTGTCCAGTTCCTTCAAAAGCCTGTCTGCCCTTGGTGGTTACTCTTGGGTGAAGATTTGTGGTTCAGATACCTCACCCCAAACGGATCCTACTTTCTTTAAACTGGCCATGAACGTCTAAGATTTCTTTAAAAGTATTTGTAACTTATTTCACATCTAACTGTAAAAGTCTCACTATGTGAACTTTTCTAGAAAAACTGTCACGGACATTTTTTTCTTTGGGGTATTACATCTAAATCCTAGTAACTATTAAAAGGCAGATCTGGTTTATTTTAGTGTAGAGTTTCATGTTTTTTCTTAAATAGCCAGAACCCATCTTTCAACTTTCCTAAGTTGAAGACATTGTTAGGTACTAGGAAGATAAAAATATATAAGCTTGTTATGTATCTAAAGTGTTTTTCAGCAGGGCCTACCAATATTGTTAAAGTGAAGTAATTTGAAAAATAATGAAATGTTGCTATTTCATTATATAGAAAATAAAATTTAGCAGTCACAGGAACGATTCCTGTGTTGGTTGTTATCTAAGTTTTTGCTCTGAATAAGTTCAAAATCCCTTTGGTTAGAAGGGAGATAATGAACTATACCTCAGTAGCCAAGGACCAGGAGTTTTAAGTTAGTCATTGCTTCCTTGTTCTTTTACAAACCCATGTGTAATCACTAGCTCCAGCTAAGGACACTCTCTTACAGGGGCTTTCCTGAGACCAGGATAGCACATTGGAAGTACTGGATGGGCAGCTTAGGTGTCTGGCCATCAGGGGACAGTCTGCTTCTCAGTACTGAATCGACCCTATTTGGATGTCTCCTTGTAAGGGACCTACCTGCCATCTGAGGTCTTCCCTCTACCATGTACTGATTGGGTCACTTTTAGCACGTCAGCTTCTGAATGGGTTTCCTTATATGTAGAATAGGAACACCAGTGCCTTTCAGGGTCCTGAAGGTTAATGACAAACTCGGCCGCCAAGCCACACCAAGCCATCCTCAGCTATGCCTAGCGTGTGCTTGCTTACCTGCTGCCTGAAACTGTACCTGGCCAGGACCTGAGAGATGGGGGAAGTGGCAAGAGGGTCACTCTGTTTCCTGCTGGTTCCCCAAACAGCGGTAGCAGCTCCCCAACCTGCAGCAGAAAGGTGAGGGACCCAAGAGCAAGGCCGCCAGCAACCTTGGCCCCCAGTTGTCCGCCAAATGCCCTCGCACACACTTGGCCACCTATATCATACCTGTGTCTTGCTCTCAGCCCTGCCATTCAGACTCCTCCAGAATTAATGACCTTCTCCATTCCAGCACTGCCCAGCACTAGAGGTGCGGGCTGCGTCCTCCTGCTGTAGAGCAGGTAGCACGGCCACATCACCCCAAGGTCCCATCAGGAAAGGGGTGTCCTGGAGGCTGCTGACCTGTTGGCCCCATGTCAAGATCCCACCTGCCCTTTCCTTGATGTCTTCTGGGACCCTCATTTAGGACTTCCATCCTGGGCTCCAGGCTCACAGTCCTCCCAGGCTGTCAGACCCTGCGACATGGGCCGGCTGGCTTGCATCATGAATGATAATGTCTGAATTTACTAAACTGCACTTGTGTCTATGGCCATTGGTACTATAAAGAAATCCATTTTTTTAGACATAGTTACAAATACACCAGTGGAACTGTATCAGTTTAACTTACTTTAATGTTAAACAGCCACAACAGGAAACTTTAATATAAAGCTTCTATCATGACATAAACACAGAACGACATTGTTAGCCTGTGGTTCCCGCTTCACGTGTCCTCAGCTCCCCAGTTTGTGGTTGTCTGACCTCTGACCCAGCAGTTCCCATGTGGATGTGCTGCTCCTGTCCTGGGGGAGGAAGACGGTCCCAACTGAGCAGGCTCACTTGGCTCACGTAGTAAATGGACACACTAGTCAGGGCTCGGGAACAGGAGACACTGCCCTGCCTGCCCTGATGCTCCCACTGTCTGGGCTGCACTAAAGGCAGCAGCTGGACACAGACAGGCACACTGCTGCCTTCCACTGCCAGGCCGGGCAGGGCTGCTTCCACCCCAAGGCCTCACGCACACAGGCCCCTGGGCCCCCTCTCCCTCAGTGTCCCTCCTGGCTGTGACTCCAGCCCCCAATTCGTCCTGGGTTGGGTTTCTGTGCTCAGAAGTGGCATCAGCACGGGATGTCTGAGCTCTGACCGTTCCATGCTTGCATGATGCTAGCTGGTTTACACAGCACCCCGGGGTGGTCATCCCCTTGTCACTGGGCTTCAGTGGCATGGCTCACCTTAATACTGATGCCGTGAGCAGCAAGGTCCTGGCGCAGGGTGTCGCATGCCTCCAGCAGGGGCTGCCTCTCCAGGAGCTGCTGCCGCCGGGCCTCCCCGGTGGCCTCACCCGTGGCCAGGGCGAACTGCCGGACCTTGAGCCGGAATCGGACCAGCTCCTCCACCACGCTGTGCATCGTGGCCGAGCTGCTGTCCCCTGAAACAAACTACACCCAGGCGAAGCTGTGTGACCAGAGGCTCTGGCAGCAGCCCAGACAGCCATGCCTGGCTGATGGGCCCAGGGAGTTTTGAACCAAGCCCATCTAGCATGCGTCGTCCTCAAAGCTCTGTGGGGAACTCAAGCCAGCTGTTCTCACCCGCTTAGGGGGACAGGCTGTGAAGTGCTGAGCTGCTGGCAAGTCTCCACTCTCTCCTGAATGCCTGTCACCCATGCAGGGCTCCCTAATGCCACCCAGGCTCCCAGCACAGGCATCGGAGTAATCTCAGAGGTGAGGCCTAGGGCTGGCTAGGGAGCTCTCCTGCCTCCATTCCTGGACACACCCCAACAAGCTGGCAGCTGCCGCTCCACCGATGTGCTAATATCTAAAGGTGTTTATCATCTGGTCCATTAGGCAGAGTCTAGAAGCCTAAGCCTTGTGAACTAATGAAACCAAATATTCATTCTAACCAAGTATTTTAAACAATGTAGACATCCCATGTGGCTTGCGCACGCACACACGTTTTCTCTGAAGCGTCTGAAAAGCACAGTCTCAGTGCACAGCTGGAGAAATTTCAACAAATCAAGTGGGATTCCGACTCCTGCAAGTTGCCAGAAGTCCCCTCTCTGCTACACAATGTCTTGCTCCATAATGGAGAAGGAGTCCTAGTGGCTATTTGTGTTTCATGGGGGTAAAAGAAACAACCCACAACAGTTTACAACTTGTGGGTCAAACTTGTTAAACCTCACATGATCCTCAATTATACAAACCTTGCAAAAACTTGGTCACCCCAGACGAGTAACTTTCGTATGACCTGCTGACAGTCTCTGGGCTGCCCAGGAAGGGACATTAAGTCTATCAGGTAATCCATATCTATCAATAAACTTGGATATGCTCCCAAAGACAATGCAGTCCAGACCTTTCTATGTTAAAAACATGTTCACATAAAATGTTTTCAAAAATGGCTCTTCTAGACCTTTCCTTTGCCCATCCTGAGCAGTCCTAAAGCTGCTGGGTGCAGCACAGCAAGGCGGGCCCCGTGGAGAGAAGGGCCGGGCACGGGCGTCAGAGCCCAAGGAGTGTCCGTGCAGAGGGCAGCCTGCTGGAGGGATGGAGCCTGAGGGGTGAGGAGGTTGACCAGGCAGGGGTGGGAGGGTCAGAGTTCCAGGAGGTTGTCTCCACAGGAGGGGTGGCTGCAGTGGGGGGCTGTGCATGGAGAGAGGAACACCGAAGGAAATATGTGTAGGATACTGGGAGGCAGGTTTCTAACTATCAGAAAGGGACTTAACATATGGAAGGGGAGGAAAGCAGAATGAACCCTTTGTTGGGGGACTGGGATTGAAGAGTTGGTGGCAACTCCTGGGTGTCAGTCAATGTAGATCAGTACAGAATGAACCTGGGTACTGTGTGCACAGTATCTCACACACATCTCCCAGCTCTGCCCGCCGAGGGCTCAGAGCAGCCATGGCCCAAACACAAGTGAGCACATCTAGCATTCGGATCCTCCCTCCTGAGTATCTTTCTCTACCAAGAGCAACCAGGCCCCTCGGAGAAATGGCAGATTCCTGGCTTGGTGCAAGGAAAGTAGTGGACAAGACCCAATAGCTAAAAGCACCACGGGTCCTGCAGTGGACCCTTCTGCCATAAAGGGCATTACTGGACAGATCTGAGGGGCTCGGCTGGCAGCTTCCTCTCAGATGGCTCAGGAAAGTGTTTTTACTGTACACCTAACTACATTTTGAGAGTCTGTCAAAATAAAAACCGTGTGTGCAGAACTGATGACACACCACTCCAGCTAAGTTGGGCTGCTAGGTCTGCTCAGAACTGTTGCAGTTTTAGTTAACAAGATATTAGCTCTGAGTGTTAACTTTTGAAGCAACATAATACACTTTAAGCACATAAATGAAGTTAGCATTACAATTACCCATGAAAAGGGACATTTTAAAAGGGGAAAAATGGTGACTGTACTAACAACATATAGATACAATCCCACAAGTGAGAACTGAAAAGGCAAGGCTGTACCTGTCGGTTTCCCAGAGAAATTCCAACTGTCTCAAAAAACTGCTCAATGTAGGAGATGATAGAGCCGAACACAGCAGGACTCCTAGGACCACCAGGTTCCTGTGACAAATTAGCCAAAGAAGGCTCTTTAAAAGCAAAGGACACTCGATGTAACAAAACAAAGACCTCAAGAGTCACTTTGGCCTTTTGCTTTTTTAGCATCTGGTGGAGACAACTGGACTAAATCCTGGAGTTGCTACTCTAGCAATCCAAACGACCCTGGGGAAGTCACTTAACCTGTGCACCTGAGTTCACCCATCTGTACTATGGGGATGTGCTATGGTCTGAATGCTTGTGTCCCCCACAAATCCATACATTAGAACAATCCCCAGTGTGTTGGTTTTAGGAGATGGGGCCTTTGAGAGGTCATGAGGGCAGAGCCTCATGAATGGGATTGACCAAGGCCTAGAGAAGGGCCAGGTTGGGTGGGCACAGAGTTGGGGTTCCAACACAGTAGTGTCTCCCCCTTTCATGTTTTAACAACAAATGGAGGTGCCAGAGTTCCTCGAAGTGAACCGAGGGGTTACGCGCTCCTGTATTAGCAAATGTGACACGTACTGTCAGTGTGCTGGGACCACCCTGTATCCCACTTATACCCGTATATACTTCTTCAGGCTCTGGGAGGTGGCTGTGTCCTTTGCAGGGCCAACAGGTTAGGGCACATCTGGGGTGAAGCAACTCTAGGAACTTGGGGAACGTTAGTCAGGAGAGGCCTGGAAACCACCAGCTGTGGGAGATGAAGTCACCCCAGAGAGTTGGGAAGGTGGCGTCATCTGTTCTTTATGAGGAAAAACCAAACAAACAAAAACCCTACTCTGGCCACATCCTTGGACTTACCTTAGTGACCGTCTTCAGCTGTCTGTTCCCATGGTGAATGAGGTCCATGATGGCATCCACAGCCCCAGGCGTGTCGAAGTCATCCGCCAAGGCAGCCTTCACAGCCGCCTTGGTGTGGCTGAGCCTTGGAGGACAGATGAGGGAAACAAACTTGTCACACTCCCTGGTCCCGCCCGGCAGCAGGTGGCCTGCTGCTGTGGCCAGGAGCTGGCACACGGTCCCACTCCTGCCCCCTGGCTGCAGCCTATACCCCCTTTCCTCCACTGTCAGACCCTCCAGAGCAATGTCCATGACGGCCAAGTTCCTCTCCTTCCTTCCCAGCCCACGACGAGGGAACGCAGGTCCCCTCGGCCTTCCTCTATCACTCTGCCAGGTCTCTCCTGCACTTACTACCCGTCACTGACCCCTCCGAGGCTTCATCTCCATATCTTACTCCCTGCTGCCCATCGTTACCGGTCTTCACTTCCTTTGAATTCCCCCCTTTCCAGGCATGGGGAAGGACTGGGCTCTGGGCCCCCTGGCAGCTGGGTGGGCCCTGGGACCAGTTCTGGCCATTGCGAGACACAGCATCCACGTGTGGGCCATAGTGTTGAACTGTGGAGGGAAAGCCCTCTCCCCTCCAGCCTGGCGCCATGGTGACAAGGGCCTCTGTTCATCACACACTAATACATATCAGCAGGGAACCCCGTCCGAGCACAAATGTTCTTTACCACCTTCACAACCTCCCATGGCAGGTCCTCATTTCTCACCCAATGGGATCACAGGCTTGCCCGTGGCCACACTAGCACTCCCGCGTAAGAGTCCTCAGTCTCCTAAAGCCTCGCTTCCCTCTAGGCAGCAGCCCTGGCATCACCCAGGGCTCTCTGGGCGGCCCCTGGGATGGCACCTACCTCTCCCACAGCACGTCTTCCCTGATGGGGCCGCTCGCCAGCTGCCCCTTCATGTAGGCCCGAGCGTCCTCCACGAATGCGGCTGTGGCCAGCAAGAGGTGCTTTGCTTCCAGCATGGAGCTGCTGCTGTAGTCGATGGCTGCGGAAGGGGGAAGTGGGTTAGCTGGGGTGCCCGTCAAGCGTGCCCACACCCAGCATTTCTTAACCGGGCCATCCTTTCTCCAGAAACCCAGCAGTGGAGAAAGGACACGCCTGCTCCCTACCCTGCGCCTCCCTGAGGCCCACCCCACACAGACCGCCAGTCGGTCTCATCACCTCGGAAGGAACATGGAAAACCCCTCCCAGTGTTTTGGCCACGGGGGCTCATTCCCGTTGACAGATGGACAGACAGCTAACTCTGGGAACTGGGAGAGATCTACTTGGGTACCTGGAGCAGTTCGAAGATCAGCCAGCTGGTGCCGTGAGGACTTTGGGCTCAATATTTTAGGAGAGGGAGCAAGGATTAGTCCTCAAGCACAGCGTGTCAGAGGACGTGCAAACAGATTTAGGAACACTCGTTCCACCTGGGCTGGCCCACCTGGGGCATGGACCCCTGCCTCCTGGCGCCCACAGAAAGGGTGCAGCCAGAGTGCTGGGGGTGGGGTAGTGTCCTGGGGCTGTCCGCCTCACTACCACAAGCTGGGGGCTCAAAACAGCAATTTATTCTCTTGCAACTCTGGAGGCAAAAAAGACCGCAATCAAGGCATCAGCAGGGCTAGGCTCTTCCCAAAGGCTCTAGGAGACGGGTCTTCCTTGTCTCTTCTGATTTCTGGTAGCCCAGGTGGCCCTTGGCTTGTGGCTGCCTCACCCCAAACTCTGTCTCCATGGTCATGGCTGTGCCCAGTACACAAGCTGAGGTGCCCAGCTGTCCCTAGAGGGCACCTGCTCCTCCTGCACTGCCGGTCACAGATACTAGAGGCCATACTGCTGTTACACTGGTCAAGCCACACACAACAGTGCTGGTGTCCCCAGACCTCACCTTTCTGGGTGAAGAAGAGACCTCTGGGCCTGGGGACACATCGCTAACAACCCCCCAAGGCAGCACGCAGGAGCACAACACCGTGGGGACTGCAGCCCTAGGGGACCCCTATTTGAGGGCTCCTGGTTCAGTCCCTGTGAGGACAGAGAGTCCAGTTATCCTCAGTTCATGAAGCAAGAAGTGGAAGGTACTGTGGGGTTCAGACATCCAGGCCCCACAGAGAGGGAGAGGTGGTGGAGTACATGGGGAGGATTGACTGGAAAACCCATGGCCTTCATGAGATAAGCTTCTGGAATCTTCTGGCCAACTCTGGGATTATGCTTTTTAATAGTGCATCATCGGACTCACTTTCAGAACTCAAACCTTAAAGCATGAGAGCAGCCACACTCACAAGACTGTTACTACTTAGCCTGTATTTTGGTATTTATTCCCCAAGTACGGTCAGAAGATTCTTTGCAGAGCTATATACAAGTAGACTCCGTGGCTGGCATCCCAGGAGGCCCCACTGCTCTGCTCACCTGACCTGTAGCTGCTCCTCATGCAGAAGAGCCGGAAGACATCAGGGGAAAACGTCTTCAGAAAGTCCTAGCAGAGGAAGAAATACGGGAGAGTTGTACAGCGTTTTTTTTTTTTTTTCACGTTTGAATCCTCAGAGATTTTATTAGTTACTACAGTTACGTGAGCTGTCATATCAAGAAACCAGGTATGTTTATGAAAAGCTGTTTTGTTTCCAAACTCACTCTTAGCCCTTTTTCCCACATTTTCCTTGTTCAGTCCCAGTATCTATGGGACAGGCCGAGAGGCGGAGGCCTGTTTGCCTGGGGTCCCTGCTCCACGCAGGCACCAGGGAATCTGCTTGTTGTTGGCCTCGAGAGCTCTTTACAATGACAGGGTTTTCTGATCCTTGTCATGAGAGGACAGGGACACAAACAGAGGCCACCAGATGGCCTGAGAACCACAGAGGGACTGCACACATGAAGGGACTTGGGGAAGAGGTGGGACACACAGCTCCTAGCTGCGTGAGAGGGACAGGGTCCCAGGAGCAGGAAGGAGACTGTCCAGGAAAAGCCATGGTAACATCAGAACAAGCGACGTCCAGGCTCAGGGTCGGACTGAGGCGTGGAGGGCCCAGCTCATCTCTGACGACACGGTTCTTTGAGGCACTGAGTGACGCAGGCCCCCGTTCATGTTTCTTGAAGAAAAAACCTGCCTCTGATTAAATATAAGTAAAACTAGAAACCAAATCAATATGATCCTGTAGGTTATTTCCACAATGTCTACAGAAAGAAGTTTCCATATCAGGAAGAATAACATAGGGAAACATAGCAGTAATTGTTTAAACAGTACAACATTCAACAAAACCTCTGGTGGCCAGGGAAAGTTCTGCGGTGACTACAGGGATGAGACATGGTGGAGGAAGAAGTGAGGCAAGGGCACAGCCTCCCAGCGGGTTCCAGTGTGGCCCCAGGAAAGACAGTGGGGCTCTGCTCAGCCTGGCCAGGGCCCCCTTCAGACACAGGGGTGCCCCGGGCTCTATCTGAGGACACACTGTCCACAGTGACCATGCTGCCGGCTGACCAATGCTGGGCACTGAGGAAAAACAGGTTCAGACAGGACTGTTTGACAAAGAAGTTTTGGTAAAAACCAGAACCATCCTTCTCCATCATGGATTCTCAGTGAGTGAGAAAGGAGACGTTCTCAGCCCTTCGTCATGTCTATCCACCCCCTCCTCGTCCAACAGTGTCTCTGGCCTCCCCTGAACAACACTGACCCAGTGTGTGACAGCTGGGAGAAAACACCTGGCCAGGGTCCTGTGCCAAGTCTGGTCAGGTGGTTCCTCTGTGGGGACTTAAGGATGCTTGAGAAACAAAGCAGACTGCGAGCACCTGCTCCAGCTGCGTGCCAGCTTTGGAACGGACTTATATGAAGGGGCCACCTGGGCACACCTGGCAGGGTTAGACGAAGTTTCACCTGCTGGAGACAAGTCCCAGGCAGCACCTTTGCTGGCAGCTACCCTGTTGGTCAGGACACCTTGCAGGAGAAGCACTGTCTGTACCCCCACCACTGGTCCAAAGGGCAGTCTCCTGCTCCCATGCGATCTGCTCCCTCAGTCTTCACTGACCAGCCCAGACGACGGGCCTCCGTCCTGCTGGTTCCTGACATGATGCCACGCTTACCATGGGGCAAAATCAACTGCAGCCTGGCACATAAAACATCTGGCTAGATCCCCCAAGGCCTCACAGAATGCTGTCAGTCAAGCATATTTTAATAAATGTCAGGCTATCACCACCTTAAAAAGCAATTTGCCTTGCCCAACTTCCGAGACACGGAGCCCCAGAGTGAGGCCCACACCCTGAAAGCACTCAGCGTTGTGTCTGCTGTTGCGGGGCAGGGGAAAGCTCACATCAGCTGCCACCTGCCCGGAAGCACGGATCCTCTCCCCACAGGTCCTTGAGCTCAGGGGCCGGGTGCTGCGAGAGAAAGCCAAACAGCACTCTTGGTCACCTTGGGGAATCTGTGCGTCTGCTGTGTAAGTGCCAGGGCACTCCTGCAAGACTGGGCACACCAAGCTGGGCATCCTTACCCTCTCAGCTCCCAGTAAGATTTACGTGGTTGTAAGTGAAATGCACCGCCCAAGAGCCTTTACACGGAAACATCTGACACACTGAGGCTAGCCCAGCACCCTCTCTGCCCAGAAAGGCCCATCTCTCTAGTCAGGTCCGTCGAGCTCACCTGACCCTCACTGAGCTCATCGCCTGCCAACGACTCAGAAGACGGACCTGGAAGCTTATCCCAGATGCTTCTCCACTGCCCTTCTGGCCTCGCCTCTCTTCTCCTTGGACGCTACCGAGGCCTGTAGGTATGAGAGCCGTGAGCAGTGACGAGGGCCGGCCACACTGTACTCCTCACTCTGGCCTGACTCCTCGGATCACCAGGCTGATGTGGCAATCACCTGACACATGCAGCTATGGCAACCCACATCAGAGAAACAAGTTTGCAGCTCTTCACCTGGGGGAGTGGGGTGGCCTCATTCAGTTCTCCCTGGGAAGGGGAAGAGGCCGCTCACAGACTCCCAAGGCTGATCCTTTTGGAGAGATAGAGGGTGGCTCTGGTCTTCCCTTCACCAGGCAGGGAGTGTCCACCACGGGTCCGGCACTGGCACCCACCCCCCTTGCCTGGCTGTACCTGAGGCAGTGGGGACTCCTTCTCATTCAGGGGTGGCATTATTTAGGAAGATGTTCAGCTAATACTCTCATCTAGGGGCTCTCAGCTGGGGGCCCTCACACCTCCTAAGGCCGATGAATAGGATTTGGGAGGGGAGAGAGGTATATAAATTTAGATGAGAAAATGGCTACATATGTACTTCCACTAACCTCCAACTGAATGTGACATTTCCTCCAATGAACAGTATAAGCAATGAGTCACAGCAGGATCACCAGAGCCTGAAATTCAGTCAGCCTGAGTGGTCACAGGGGTCGTCATCTCACGTCCCGCTGCTGTACTACCTCCGAGTATCGTAGGCCCACCACTTATGTGAGATGATGGCGGCTATCAGCCCTGCTGCTTGATTTTGTTAAATAATTCACTGAAGTGAAGAAGCGCATATACTCCTGCATTTCAATGTATTCTATGCCTTTTAGAATCCTATATATTTCATGTTATGTATTTAAAAACATTAAACTCCAAGGAAGGGTCAACAGACTTCACCAGGCCACCAAAGGGATCTCCGGGGGAAAACAAGTGAAGAACCCCCATCTAACCCAACCTTTACCAGTAATGAAGCTGGTTTTTTAATTTCCATCTGTCTTATCTCCTGTGTGTTCCTTCCCAAATTATAAAAAAAGGACTATTACTTCTTGGTCCCCTGAATTCCCCAAAACTAGCCAACTAACTTGAGATCTCCATCCACTGTCTACTCGTATGGTTTTGCTGTTATTAAATAATGCATCCATGTAGTCATGTGTCCTGCTTTTCTTCATTTC